GTAGTTGATTTTTATCGTTTTCTGAAATATCTGTATAGGATCAAAACTCCGTCCTTGTTTGGCTGTTCTGCTCGTTACGGTGAAATGGGGCCCCTCTCACTAGTGTGAGGCAGAACCTCTGAGCTCCAAGAGGGCTGTTTTCTCTGTCCACAGAGCCAGGGCAGTGAACGAGGTTGCGAGCCTGCAGTCCTTTAGAAGAATGAGACAAAACAGCCAAACGGAAAACGCCCTTTACGCCATGAACGACTGTTTATGCACAGACCCCACCACTGCCGAGGAAGCTGACAATCCAAACTTCCTGCACCAGAGAGATCAGCTCAGAGACTCAAATGACCTAGAAATCACCCGAGCTCTGTGTTTGGTCTCTCTTTGCCCACTCAGTGGCTGCCTGACCCTGGCGAGCGAGGGCACTCACTCCACCAACCTCTGTCTATGCCGGCCCAGCCCCCACCCAAGTCCAAAGGCCCTGGGCCTTCAGGGGGCTGTGCAGCAGCCTGAAGTCAAAGCCACTGAGCAAAGAGGCTACGACGGACCCCTGGAGACGGCCACAGACTTGCAGGAGCCTGAGGTCCACTTAGGCAGGACAAAGGAAGGCTGCGTCATGGGCCAAGCAGATCAAAGCCGAGCGTGCTCCCGCACGGCCTCCCAGAGACAGAACCTGGATGGGGCTGTTGCTGCCAGCTGCCTTCCTCCCTGCAAAACCTGCAACGCCTGTGGCACCCGCTGCCCTCACCCCAAGAAGAGGGTGAGTGACACAGGAGGACATGGCCATGCGGCAGGGCCGTGCGCCTGACACCTTGAACAGTGGTGTGGACTTGGCCAGAACTTGGCCAAAGAGTCACGGGCTGACCTGTGCTGGGCCCCCCGACACAGGGGTCGAGCTAGGTCAGCCCTCCCACAGCCTCACTCTGTGCTCCCCCTGCCTGTCAGTCCCCATGGCCCTTCCCTGCTCTTTCTGAGAACTTGGTCCTCACAGCCACTGACCCTATAGAAAGAAAAAGGACTTGCATAGCATTTCACAAGGGCAGCAGGTGTCTTTGTTCTGCAAGTCGTAAGGCAGTAACTTCCCTAACCCTCAGCTCCCCAGACAGGCTGCCCCTGCGCTTGCAGACTTCCCGACATCCCAGAAGGCAAGTCTGTCTCCTGTGCCCGCCCCTGAGTTCTGTTTGTTCCTGCAGAGAGTGCGCCAGGGGTTGTAGACCCACTGACACGTGAAGTCTCAGGTGAGAGTTTACCTGTCCTGAACTGACTCAACACGGAAGGAGACGACTTTGGCTCTGAGGTCTAGTCTTAATCTACAAATACGTGCCCGGACATTCCCAAGTCTAGTCACAGAGGGTTAAAGCTTCTGCCGCCTGGTTTGTAGGTGGTATTACCTAAGTTCAGGTATGATGAGATGTGTGCAAGTGTCCAACATGTAAGGGTTTCCTGTTTTAAAGACAATGTGAAGCTAAATTAAGAATAGTCCTCAGTGCTCTGCACCGGAAACCTACGCCATTTCCACCTCAGACCTGGAAACACAGCATCAGAAACAAAACCGCACTTAGGACGAAGGTGCTGACGTGCTGGGCAACTGCGTACACCAAGTGTTTCGCAAACAGCTATGAGGCACGTAAACACAGGCAAAAGGTTAAAATTTAAGGTCAGGAACGTGACACACTTGCACACGGATACACGGACCCGAGAGCGTGGGTCTCAAAGCGAAGCTCCGGGGCAGCTCTCGGGCTGGCGGCCGCCCATTCTCAGGGGCCAGCGCTGCTGTGAGGACGGGCTGAGCAAGGCTCTGTGGGACAACAGAGGGGACGCACTGGACGCATCCTTCTGCTGATGCCGCACGAGGGGCTCTTTCAGGGCCTGTCTTTCTAAACTGCAGTGATGATGGCAACATTAGTGGGATGAGAAATAAAGTACTGAAAGTTTACTACCCATGAAAACGAGCCAGTCACTTATGGTCGAGGAGAACAAACCGAAATGCTGCTGGGACTGTAAACGGTGCGGCCTGCCACGTCCAACGCTGACCATGTCGTCTGGCAAAGTCACGGCGTGGGGACTGCGCCTTCACAGAAGCGTGTTCCGGCCAGGCGGACGTGGCATAAGTGGATATATGGTGTTGATTCTGTTCGTGCTGACTCCTGGTGTTCTGACATTTACTTTTCTGATAATTTGGAATCTCCTAAAAATGATGGCCATTCTCAGAGCTGATCAGCAACTAGGTCAGACTGAGAACAATGCTACCTTGGCCTTTCCCCAAAATAATACCCTCTCTGGGGGCCCAGAGGAGGAAAGGCCCACCATGTCCAGTGAGTCCAAGGGGAAGGATATTTCCTTCCCTGACCCAGTTAAGCAGATGCAGAACAAGTTAATATTAGGCAGCAGGGAGCCAGAGTTACCCAGAGCGGAGGCTCCCCCAAGTTAATCCCCTCTAATGAAATAGCCCCTGAATATCTAAAAGTTGTTGGAGTAGCAGCCCCCCTTTACCTTGAATAAGAATATATATCAATTAGACAGGCATAGAAATAAAAAAAAAGCTGGCTAGTTATTACAAACTAAACACGTAGAAACAGTTACTAAAGAGTCAGAGTTTATAGTACACAGAGAAAACATTTAGACAGAGAAAATAGATAGTTAAGTTAGACATCACAAAGGCCTTATAATAAATTTCCTAACCTCCGCTCGGTCTAGTGTATCTTTTGCCCCATGTCAAATTCTAAGACCTTTAATAAACAATAAGACATTCAAACTCTGTCCATAGAGCTATTTCAAATAGTCTGATTAATGGTTCTTCTAGTCAAAACAACTTCTGTTTAACATAACAAACTATGGAATTTCTTGTACTTTTCCTGGTTACCTTTGTATTGATTTTTTCTGCTTAACTGAACATACTATACACCTGCAAATATTAATCACTACCTAAAATGAAAATATAAAAACCTGCCTGTACTTGCAATAAACGGAACAGAGCTTCACTGTCCTTTGAGGCGTGATGTCATCTGTTACCCACTGCCGATGCCTTACCCACTTTTGGGATCTCTGGACCCCGCTGTGGCTGGACCACGGCAGTGGCCACTCAGAAAGTGCTAGAACCAGGTGAGTGTGTACCCACCAGCCAGCAGCGAACACACAGGCACTGGTCCAGAGAGATGGATGCGTGACCGCACAGGCTCCCACGGGAACGTCCACAGAAGCTGCCTCCGCAGGGGCCCCCACTAGGAGCAGCCCCGAAGGCCGTGGGGAAAGAGCAGACAAACCCGTGTGGCCAGGGAACGAAGCACCAGCCCACGGGGACAGAGGGACAGATGCCTGCCTGTGCGGCACTACACGGCTGCCTCCCACGCCGTGTGGAGGGGGTGGGACTCAGGCAGCCAGTGCCCGCTCTCGGGGTCTACTCACGCCAAACCAGCCCGTGGTGGGGTGGGCAGGGCCGGGAGGCTGGCTGGGAAAGGCCTGAGGGGGCGGCCACAGCCCACACCCTCCCAGGGGCTGGGGCAGCCCCTGTCCAGACCCAGCGAAGCGTTTGCTGGAGGCGGGTGTGCTCCCTTGCACATGGGTTCCGCCTCAAGAGGAAGAGCAGTCTGTAAGCAAAGGTCGAACTCTGGTGTACGGGCACCCACTGCACTGTCTGCGGTTACTCTGAGACTCACTGAGAGGGATGGACAGAGGGACGGATGGACCAATCTGCGACCAAACAAGCGCGTTAAGTGTCAGCGGCAGGACCTGCGTGGCAGGTATATAGGTGCTCACTGGAAAGTCTTTCTGATTTTCTGCTTTTCCGATTTTTCTGCTTAGAATGCTCGCAATAACTGGCCCTTGTCGGCACCTTCTCATGGAAGACGCGCACACGTCACATGCAGCTTGGACCCCTGTCATAGCCTGTTGGTCCCCCCCACCTCACTGGCCACAGTGATTTTGTGGGTGGGGGAGTTTGTGGGCCTTCCTGCGAGAGAGGATGCAGAACGCCCCACTCGCCTCTGCGTGGAGGCGTGGCTTCTGGGGATGGCGCACGCACCCCCCCCCCCGCCGCTGTCCATGCGACTCCCAGAGACGAGTGGCGGCCCCTGTTCTCCCACACCCACAGGAGAGCACGTGGACGTCTCACGGTGGGTGAAAGCCGCTGTCCGCATCTCTCTCCTCTTTCTTCATCAAGAGACAAACAGCTATTCCACCTGTCCCCACCCCACCGTCCCCCCGCCTCGGCTGGTGTGCCCCCCAAGGCGGGCACGGATCCATCCCGGACGCCCCGCCTCTTGCTCGGGGGCTGCGAGGTGCGCACCGCCCAGCGGCCTCCAGGGATGAAGCCCCACTGCAGCCAAGTGGGGCTTGACATCGCAGAGAGAACCTGTGGCTGCAGCCTTCTGCGCACACTAGAAACCCCGGGGCGAACCTCCCTCGGGGGCCACTCAGTGGGGGGTCAGAGCCACGGCCACGGTGAAGCTGATCTCGCCTGCCGACCAGCTACCCTCTGGTGCCTGTGTCTCTGGGAGCAGAGGGCACCCGTCACCCACAGGAACAAGGGCAGAGGGCAGGGGAGTGTCCCAACCCCAGTACCCACCAACCGCACCCTCGCTTCAGGAATGTCAAATGCCCACCACTCCGTCCGGCCCCCACCCCACCACAGGCTGGGCGTCCTTTCCAATCTGGACGCTCAGACGCACTGCCCTGTGCTTCCCAATTCTGCTGACCCGATGCCGGAGTCTGGGCATCGGGCCCCGGGGTCTCGCAGCAGATGCAGTGAGACCAGGGGTCCTGGGCTCTGCTCCTGCCCTCAGCAGGACACCGAGACACGGGGCCTGAATGAGGGCGTGGGGCCTCCCAGAGGGTGAGGACGCCGAAACACACGGCTTGGCAGAGTTTGGGTCCCTAACAAATGGGGTGACTGCACATTTTTGCATGACATATACCCCATTTCTGTTCACAACACAAAATAACGTATGAGGAAATACCGCCGCAAGTGGAGTTGCAGAACTGGCAAGTCACAGAACTGCTCTGTCTGCCCCCCTTACCTCGTTCGGAGGGACCGTGGCAAAGGGCATGATGACCGCGGCCAAGGGGACCTGGGCCTGCTTGGCCATGTCCGACGTGCTGGGGAAGCAGTATGCGGTGCAGCGGATGTACCGTGGGCTGGCGTTGCCTGGAATGTTCAGAGACACATTTAAAAGGGGCTCCAGGAAGTCGGCCCGCTCACATCTACACGTCCATAATGGCGCTTCTGGGTAGCGCGCTGCCTCATTGGTAAAACTTCCTCCACGGCTTCTTAAAAACCAGGAGTGCTGCGCGCTGTGCCAACTCTAACCCAGGCACACGGCCACGTCTTGAACGACGCCACACCCAGTTCTGCCATAAAACAGGGAAGAGGTGCTTGGCCCTATTTCCCACGAGCAGGTGCTGACAGAGCCCCCCGCGGGCGGGAGGGGCGTTGGAGTCCGTGGAAGAGACGCGGCGCGGGTGCAGGACCGTGGAGCCCGCCCGCCTCCCGCGCCTCCCAGCGGGGCCTCGCCGGGGGAAGGCGAGGCGTCGGACCCCACGTCCCCACAGCAAGGGCCGCTGTCTCCACGACGGTTCCATCTGACCAGGTTTTGTCTTAAATTTGGACATTAAATTTAGAGATGAAAATTCTACTTGTAATAGAAATATATTTTAAACACCCTGATCTATTTTTAATAGACATTAGGCTTCCTGACGAAGTGTCTTTACGTGACACAGCACACATAAGTGTTAGAACACTGTCCATGGCGTGGAAAAGACTTTGAGTCACTAGAATAACTTGCCTACAATCAATTTTGAAATTAAATGATTAGAAACTATAATATATTATGATCAAGAGAACATAATCACTGAACAAATGTTCACTGAGTGTCCACTAGTCCCTGCGGAAGTGACAATAAATACTGACCTGAATACAGGGGTAAAGTGTGTGCCACCAGGGGGACAGGTATTGTGGGGAAGCCCACGTGGGCGAGGAGGGGGTTTCAGAGTTGCACAGGGGCCTTACTGGAAGGTGCCATGGAGTAAAGACCCCAGGAGGCACGGGGTTCCCCAGGCAGACACCCGGGGCAGGTGTCAGTCCTCAGGTGTCACTGAGGGTGGGTGGTGCTGAGGGGCACAGGGAAGGGAGAGGCAAAGCTCAGCGGGCAGTAGGAGGGAGCCTGGATTCACGTGCAGGTGTTCGAGGTGTGCAGGTGTGTGAGACATGCAGGTGGGGGAGGCGTGCAGGTGCGCAAGGCGTACAGGTGGGGGAGGTGTGCAGGTAGGGGAGGCATGTAGGTGTGCATGGCTCTCCATGACGCCCCTCTGCCTCTCCTGCTGCCTGCTCTATAAGGACAGCTTAGAGGATGGACTTTGGGGTGGGGGACCCCCAACTAGAATTGGTCTGGCTCCACCACTCAGAAATGACACCAGATGCCGGTTCACACATCAACATCACAGGACCGAGGACATGACCCATCCAGGCGGCACATTCAGAATGTGACGTGTCCGACCCCATCGGGACGCACTTGAGCCTGCCATTCACAGGAGGGTGCCCTCTCCCTGGGGAGACCAGCCCTGCACGGGCCTGGCAGGCGGACTGAGTGAGAGCAGACCCGGGCAGAGTCAGCAAGGAGGCGCCGCCACTGCTCCCCGAGTTGAAAAGGGGGGAAACAGGCCCAGAGTGTTGAAGAACCTGCTGAAAAGACGTCGCAGGGCCCGGAACGGTCTGCTGCTCCGTTCCTGCTGCCCCAGCAGGTCCCAGTGAGGTCCCTAAGGCGACACAGGGGCAGGAGCTCACGCTCCCCCATCAGGGAGGACACAGGACCCTCTGCTCAGGCACAGGCTGCACTGCACCAGAAACGCTGGACTTCGGCTGACAGTCCCTTCTGTTCCTGAGTGGCTGGTGACAAGTTCACTGCCTGTGGTGCTCGACGCTGGGCAGTCGCTGTGTGCTGTGTGACCCCGTCCTCCCAGGGCACCCGGGTGCCGGATGCCAGCACTGTACGGAGGACCGACCGAGGCCTGGAGAGCTCGGGCACCGACTCGGGCCGAACGTGCAGACAGTGACGTGGCCGAGCCCCAAAGCCCTGTCCTGCCTCGTGCTCTGTGGGCCCAGACCCAGATCCACGGGATCCGCTCGTGGAAGGGCCCCGTCAGCGAAGTCATTACGGAAAGGTGCTGGTGGCTGAGCGTAACGACAGCGCAAACTCGGAAAACCTCCACCAAAGCCACTGCTGAGACTGTAAATACCTTGGTCTTGGACCACGAAGTCGGTGGTGACCAGCGGAGGGACCTGGCCTCTGGTGCTGGTGACGTACACTTGTCCCCCCCGGGTGGCGCGGTCATTCTCGATCACCTGGATCTGATCAATGAGACAAGTTCACAGAACATCAAAGAAGAATCTTCCTGGGGAGCCCAGTGTGCCCATCAGCCCGCCCCCCACCCACACACAAGGAAGGGAACCTATCGGTGTGATGGGCGCGGTGCGCCAACCGCAGGGACGGTGTCTGCCAGCCACGGTGCAGAGTGGCCCTTCGGGAGGGACGCGGAGAGGGGCGAGGAGGCACTCACTGGGCTGGGCACAGCGTCGGGGTCCAGCTTCCTCTGGGGTGCGGGTGGGCCGGCCATCTGCGCAGGCCCCGAGGGGAAGCCCCCCGGGTACACGAGCTGTGGCCCTGGCACCTGGGGGCCGTAGCTGGCTGTTTGGGAAACGGTTCACGGAGGACGACTGTAACCCAAACCTCGACGCGGGGCTCCCAGACAACATCCCGCGGGCGGCCAGGCCCGTTGCGTCCCACCCCTTCCCGCAGGCAGGGGGTGCGTGAGACCACCCCGCTCCCTTCCTGTGCCGTTGCCACACTGCTCAAAAAGTCCCCTTAACAGCCAGCAACAGCGCCCAGCAACAGGGACCAGGGGGATCTGCCAGTAAGGGTGGCCCCAGGGGCTCCGGGCTGTTCCGGAGCCCTGCCCCGGCCTTACCCTGCTGCAGGCCGTATCCAGAGCCCGGGGTCTGTCCTGGCAGAGGTGGGGGCTGGAGCTGGCCACTGGGAGGAGCGGGCCCAGGGAGCCCGCCCTGCCTGTGCCCCGGTGGGGGCAGGGGGGCCGCACCAGGACCATTCAGTGCAGTGGGTGGCGGCGGGAGCACTTGTGACCCAGGCTGCAGAATGGACGGCTGCGGAGGCCGGGGAGGACCCTGGCTGGGGGGCACCATGCCCGAACCTGTGCGAGAAAGAAGACAGTCACCCACACCCACTCTCTGACCCCTGTGAAGCCCGAAGCCGGGACACCCCTGACCAAAGCAGGTGGCGCCTGCCCAGACCCAGGGGCGTCCTTTTTGCCACCGGATGGAGCCTTCATTCTGAGAGTGACATAGATGCTATTTGGGGCATTCTGTGCTGGGGACTTCTTACAGGGTAAAAGCAACATTAGTAATCCCAGCAAGAGAAGGAGCAGGGAAGATTCTAACTCAGGTGTGTGGACTGTTAGTGAACAATGGGCCATCAGTTCAGAAACTGCATCTGGCACGCAATGTACAAGTCACATGGACCACACGCCATCCCGAGGTGGGCATCACCCAGGCAGCGCGTGTTCAGAAAGCCCTCCGAGCCCTGCGCTGGTCCTGGGCAAGGGGCCCCCAGAGCCAGGGAGAGATTCCCGGGGAGAAGGGTAGGCTACCCACAGGGCGTCCCGCCATCCTGGAAACAACTGTGAGGCCAGATTGTTTTTCCTTTAGCTGATCATGAGAAACTGAGTCGCTTTGTTGGAGATTTGCTGGTTTTGGAACCAGAGAGAGAGAGAGAGAGAGAGAAAGAGAGAACACTCTGAGGGGTTTCCTACTGACACAGTTTCTAAAACACTGAAGTGACGGAAACGCTCTGCATGAAGGCAAAGGGCTGACTGCTGGGATTGCAGGGGGTGCCTCTGCAACCCCCGGGGTCCCCGGCTCTTTGCCGTCACTGTCGCCCCGAGCCTGTTTCCCTCCCACAGCTGTCCCTGTGGCCTCTGGGTCCCCATTCTAAATGGGCATCGGATGCTCTGTGAAACGAGGAGGATTCCACTTCTTATTTTAGTCCCCAGTGAACAGCACGAGACTAAAACGGCCCTCGTGTTGCCCAAAATATGTTTACTGTTCTAACGTTTGCGACACCAGCATTTTCCGTTTTCTGTTGTTCTACTACAGAACGTAAGGTATTCTGGGGGTCCTTCCATCACCTTGAAATAAATGACAGCATGATCAGGGAAAACTGAATCAGAGCCTGACACAACACAGACCAATCACATACAAGTGTCCCACGGCCAACTTCGACATGGCGTGCCCGAGTTATATCTGCGGAAAGGAAGCGCACCCTCCCCATCGGCAGTGCTCAGGGCCAGGCCGCCAGAGACCGTGCAGAAAGGGAGTTACCGCCGCTGACTTGCATGGCGTGGAGCTGTGCGCCCAGCTGGGAGACGGGCGAGGCGGCCGCGGGGCTCGGGTACGCTGCCGGCGAGGTGGGTGCATACGGGGCGTAGGCCGGGGCCCCGCTGCTCATGGGCGGAGGCCCTGGGAACCTGGAGAGGAGCAGGAAGGCTCAATGACAACACGGTTTTGTGCATGGACGCCATCAGCGAGTGTCCGTGACCCGTAACATCCAACACACCCGTCTGGTGGGGACTGAGTTCTGTGCTGTCTCCCACGTTCTCAGGGTGAGCCCAAACGCACCGGGGAGCAGCACCCTGGTGACCACGGTGGCTCGGCCTGCATCCTAGACCTGCCCCGACTTTTTCATTTCCGCCCCATTCCACCCCACTTCCGCCCTCCACTCACAGTCTCAGGGGAAGCAGGGACACGTGTGGGGAGGGGCGGAGTCCGTGCACCGGGCCGGGAACTGCAGTGGCAGTGGTCCCGGTGTGGCCTGGCAGTGGGAACGGAAGCTCCGGAGGACACGGTGTCCATCCGTGGAGACGGCACCGGTGGCTGCTACCACGCAGTCCTGCCTGGCTCCCTGTGTCACACGTGGCTCTTCACGTGCACTCCGGCCCTACACTCTCTGCCACACCGACCACGTCCCGGTGTGAGACGGAAACCAAGGCTCTCGGGAAAGGGCCCAGCCACTGCCCAGCCGAGAGCAGCAAGCACATCCCGACACCGGCGCCCACCCGCTGTCCCTGCCGACCCGGTGCTGCTCTGGCAGCCCCACGCCCACCGGGGGCTGCCTGCCAGCAGGGCCCAGGTTCACCGCCCTCCAGGACCTGACAGAGGAGAACAAGCCAAAAGGGCCCGTCCTATCCCGCTGACACCAGCGGCCCAGGCCCGCTCTTAACCGCAAAGCAGCTGCCCCGGTTTTGCATTTCTTCTGGACAAACACCTGAGGTGCGGGGCAATTCACACAAGGACTTCCTCTGGGTCCCGACCCCGTCCTCTGGACTGAGCATCCTGTTTCCTCGTGTGACAAGGCAGGGGACTGAGGCCTGGACACCCGGAGCATCACCAGCATCGTCTGGCCAGTTACCGGCTTCAACAGAAGAGTCTTATTGGGTAATTCTGCTTCCCCCTGAGGCCACCCAAGAAGGGGCAGCGGGGCAGCCCCAGGTCTGCCCTCTGCCCTCTGCCCCTTCCTCAAACCGCTGCCCCACATGAATTACACAGACTCATCCTGTTTCCTGCGTTCACCTCCAGCTGCCTCCTGACTGGCCGAGGCCTCCAGACCCTTGGGAGCCGGGAAGCGGCATCCCCGGTGAGGCTCTGTCGGAGAGCTCACTCGATGACCAGCAGGGACGGAGGGTCCCTTGGCTGGGTGACTGACTGGCTGGCTGCACCGGGGTGCAGACGCACAGTGGGGGTTCTCCTGCCCCACACCCCCAACCGTGCAGCCGAGCAGCCTGGGAAAGATCCCGGGGGAAGGTCCAATGTGCACGCCTCTGCTGGCTCCAGAGACCCCCCCATAGCAGTGCCTCATGGGACAAACGGCAGCGGGGTTCCCGGCAGGGAAGGTGTGACACGGGCCCCCTCCCCCCGGGACAGTACCCCCTGGGCCGCAGGGCTCTGGGCGGCGTCCATCGCCACCTGAGCTTCCCCAGGCTGCCCCCGGCCCCCGCCCTTCCTCAATGTATTACAGGCACAAGCCCAGCTCTCCCGCCAGTCTCGTTGGCACTGCCGCCTGCTCTCGCGAGTCCCTCCCTGGGCGTCAAATCCACTCTTTCCCTGGGCCACCACCTGATCTAAGCTTTAAACTACTCCCCACAAGCACCGACTGGCACTGGGCTCAGTTCCGCGAAGGGACTGAGAGGCGGGGGTTTAGAGTGTGTTGGGGAGTTCGGGCGCAGACACCCAGGGCATGAGGGATCGATAGGAAACCCTGGAAGGCGACCGTGACCCAGCAGTGAAGCCTCTGGTGCCGACACAGCGCTTCTGCAGACCTTTGTCTGCACTAGGACTGGTTCCCCCCACCCCCGCCCGCCCGACTTTCTGTAACCGCTCTGTATCCTGGGCCAGTTTTCCGGGAGATCCTTTTGAGGATGTGGCCGGATCCAGAGTGGACTTTCAACCAATAAACAAGTATAAGTTTACGAGGGACTTGAGAGACAAGTAGCAGAACAGACAAAAGAGGGCTGGAGTCTACCTCACTCACCTCTGGGGAAGGTGACCCTGGACTTGAGCTCCGTTCTGGCCAAGCTGGTGGGGTCCAGCAGGCGGGGGGCCTTGGGGCAACACCCCTCCAGGGGCAGCCCCCGAAGGCACTGCTGGCTTCACCATACCTGCAACGGAAGGCGGAGTCAGGAGGGGACGCCCGGCTGTGCGCAGCCGCTTGGCCACCATCGGGACAGACGGCAGACAAGGAAGGAGCCACCTGCTCGCTAAAGCGAACTGCGACAGAACACGCCTCCGCACAGAGGTGTGGAAGGCACGACGAAGATGCCGACCGAGAGCAGGACGTCGGTCTGGGGGAAACCGTGGTGGAGACGCACAGCGTCCGAAGCCAACCAGGGGCTCGGGCCCTCCGAGGACACCTGCGCGCAGGGGACACACGTGGGGAAGCAGAGAGGGAGGCAGGGAGGCGCCTGTGTTCCTCCAGCAGGTCACAGCCCAGCCTCGGGGGCTGATCTCAGTTCCAGACCCTAACACCTGGTGACAGAAGCTGAGGGACGCACCAGCGGTTCGTGCCCGCGGCCGCTCACATCTGATGCTGGGCGCTTGGGCCGCCCTCCTCCTGCAGAGCAGGCTGACGGCCCGCTGCAGCCTGCCCTCAGACCGGTTCTCTTTTCTCCCGGAGGGACTGCGGGCGGGGCGAGGAGTTTCCTTGGAGGGCCTCGTTCGCCCTCTTGCACAGGAAACTCCGCTCGCCGTGGAGGACAAGAAGGGGGTGCCTCTTGTGTGTGAGCGCCATGCGGGCTCCTGCCCTGCACTGGCCTCTCGGTGCCGTGCCGTTCTCAGCGCCTCCTTCGTGCCCCCAGTCCCTCTGGAAAGTGCACCCCGACCCTGCAGTGCCCGGGAGGAGTTCCTCCCAGTGTCCCCACAAGACGTCCCAGAGCACGCACTCAGATGCTGGGGTGACCCAGAACAGAAGGCAGCCCGTGCAGGGGCGGGACCCCTGAGTACCGCCGACCTTCACACAAGTGTCATCTCCTGACACAGGGCTCCTCAAAGTTATGAAAAGCGTTGTAGTGACATGACTCTTATAACACTGCCTGTTTATGTAAAGTTCTACACCCCAAACCCAGCCGATGGGAAAGCGTGAGGCTTGCACCCCAGGCGGGTTGGAGCCCCCCACCACTTAACGGCTGTGACCCCGGGGAGACCTTTGAACCCCTCAGACCTGGACGTGGTCCTGCCCCACCTCTGAGGGCTGTTCTGAGAACTCGGGGAGGCGGAGGGCCTGGGAGAGCCCCCTCAGGGCCAGGGCAGCAAGTTCCTGCGCCCACTTCCCAGGCCCCGGCCCACCCCGCCTCCACCCTCCTCTTGTCAGGCATTTACATTCTAACAAACGCACACTTGTATTTTCATTTTCAAAGCATGATTTTAAATAAAAGCAGAGAACGCACAACACTAAAAGAGTAACTAATTACATGCGCTACAAGAAACCAAGGATATTCTCATGTCTTAAATCAGGGAGGAAGGGAACGTGAACTCCTCGGCGCCCCCCGGACGTGGGTCGGAGCCGCTCGTGGCTGGCGTTCCTGTGCGTGGGCGCTGCGCCCACGTTAATAACCTGCCTCTGAGAGCAAGCAACAGGCCGGTCCTCCGTGTGCAGCAGCGCCGTCTCCCACACCAAGACTGCCCACGGCAGCCTGCGCCCACTGTGTCTGCGAGGCCCTGAGCCCCGTGGAAGTGACGCGTGCGGACAGAGAGCTGGTGCGTGTGTGGAACCCCGGCTCCTCTGGTGACTGGGAGAAGCGCAGAGGAAGGACTTCGGGGGGAGCTGGTGGAGGCCGAGCAGGAATTTTCTCAGTGTGGGGACGGGACAGGGGATCCAGGCCCAGCAAAGCTGGAGCAGGGCGGGGAGAGCAGGGTGTGATGGGGCCCTGTGGGTGGGGACCAGCCTGAGCAAGGGTTGTCCAGGTTGGCCGGGGTCAGACTGCAAAGTCATGGGTGCCCTTTGGCCTTTGTCCTCAGAGCGAAGGGAAGGAGGGGTCGGTGCCACCTGCAGACACAGTGGCCAAGTCTGAAAGTGGCCAGAGACAAAGAGAAGTCAGTGCCAGAATTTTAACGGGAAAGGAAAACCGGACCTGAGACAGAGCCAAAGGTGCTCATGACAAAAGAAAGCACCAAAACCACTAGCCAGCCTTTCCCAGGGGCCAGGTGTCCCAACAGGCTCCTCCCACCGGCCCCTGCACAGGGTCCTGAGCAGGACAGAGGGAGCCCGGGCTCCCGGCTCCCTGGCAAACCAGGGTGCCGAGTGCTGGGAGCTCTGCGGGGCCCTGCCTCTCTGGGCGCCCCAGTCACCCTGGTGGGGCAGAGACACGGCTCTGCTCTGCGGCAGAGAGGCGGGGGGGGGGCTGCTGCGGACCAGCCCTGTGGGGGCGCCCTGCCTGGTTCCCAGGTGGGGGAGGGTCTCTGCCACCAGCAAACATCACAGAGAGTGTACCTTGCATTTGGCCCTGCATCTGACACACTGAACCCAAAATTCAAACTCGTCTGTGAGAAAAATGTGTGCCCAGAGTAAACACAGATGCGCTCGTGCAGACCGCTGCGCCCTGGGGCACTGCAGGGCACGCTCCTGCAGAAGCCGGCTGTGCTGAGGCCTCGCCCCCGCCCTGCCTGGGTCCGGGACCCCAGGGTTCTTGCCTCTCAGCTTCCTGGCCAGCGGTCCTCAGCCAGTGGCTCTGTCCCTGAAGGGATGTTCAGTAATATCGGGGGTTTGGCTGCCACAGCTGGAGGCTGCGTGGAGGCACTGGTGCATGCTGGGCAGGAGCCGAGGGTGCAGCATGCAGAGTGCGGCCGCCCAGCGAGGAGCTCTGGTCCCGGCACTGGAGAGCTGCGGCCGAGCCACCGGCCGAGCCACCGGCTCCTGAAGGCAGCGGCCCGGCCCTCGGCCCTCGTGGCTCCCACCTTCTAGTGCGGAGGGCGACCCTTCCCAGCCAAAGCGCTTCCATGGCACCACTGCCCTCACAGTAAACCCAGAACGAAGGCTTCGGGCAGCCCCACTTCCACTCCTGGCATCCTTCCTGCTGCACTGGACAGCCCAGCCACACCGCCCACCCCCGCAGGTCCCCTGAAGGGCTGCCTCCACCTCTGACCTGCAAGCTGCCCCCTGACCTGGCCAGCTCTCACCTTCAGGTCACCCCCCTAAGTCCGGCCCCCGCCCCACACAGCCACTGTCAGCCTGCCTCACTCACGTCCCACCGGTCAGCGTCGGGCTGACATCGGGCATCCTACTACAGTCGCTGCTCCTCCGCCAGGAGCACACTGTCGGTCACCCAGGAACCTGCTCCACTGGGAGCCCCGAGCACCGGCAGCACCCGCAGGCCCCGGGGCAGGTGCGCACGGGAGAAGCCTCAGCAAGAGCTGGCACCGCCAGGTCCTGCAAACCACAGCTGGGTTGCCGCTCTGCCAGACAAGCGACAGAAGCAGCACCAGGGACCAGAAAAGAAGGCGTGTGGTGCCTGGCGGTGGAGAGATGTGAGGGTACTGAGCACAACGAAATAAAGGCTCGGCCGACTGCAACACACAGAAGTCTGTGCACAGTCTGCGGAGTGGAGTCTGCCTGAGCCCTGAACTCGGAGGAGGAGCTGAGGCAGGAGGGGTTTCTCCCAACAGCTGCCGTTTCAAACGCTGGTGAAACACCAGGGTGTGGGGCTGAGCCTCGCAGCAGCACAAGTGAGTGTGCAGCGGTGCTCCCTCTGCTCCACACGGCCTCGCCACGCGGTGCAGTGGGTGCTGGACCCAACGCCAGTGCTGGGAGAACTCGGGAGGTGCGGAGGGTTCACAGTGAGCTCGGAGAAGGACCGAGGTCAGAAACGCCCACCAGCACGGGAACTGCCTGAGGACAGGCACAAGGGCAGACCCTGCGGGGGCAGGGCGGGGGCTCAGGCTCAGACCGGCTGCCTGGTGGGGTGGACTGCCTGTCCGGCACCAGGGCAAACCGGCCTCCCAGGGACTCCTAGCTCAGTGTCGCCGCAGTGACAGTGTAGGGCTGGGGCAGAGGAGACGACAAAGGAAAAGGCGAACAGCGAAGGCCGGGGGAGCTGACACCGACCGCAGCAATGGCAGCCACGCAGGGCTTTAAGGCAAAGGAGGTTGGATAGGGGTTTGGTGCCGCCAAAAACCCATGCTGCCCAGGACTGGACAGCTGACAGAAACGCAGGGCTGGAGAGAGGTGATGAGCAAGACCACCTTGGGTGATCCAGTGAGAGACAGGCAGCAGGCCGGAAGGGTGACAGGAGGGGACAGAGAAGGATGCAGGTGGGAAAGACGTCAACAATTATCCAGAAGACTCAGGGAGACCAACAGGGCTGGAGAAGGTAAAGGGGAGAGATTTTTTTTTTAATTATGAAAATTTCTGATTTGGATGAAGGCAAGACACTGCCCGTGAGCGAAGGACAGGGTGTCAGAACAGGGGATCATGTTTTCAAAGCGTGAACGGCCTGGGGCATCAGCGGGTGGGCAGCCGGAACTAAGGTGCGGGCGCAGGAGAGAACTGCGGGCTGAGAGACAGCCCCTCCCACGACATGGAGCGACAGGGTCCTGGGGAACCACGGAGCCAGAGGGACGAGGGTGAAGGCAGAGCAAAGGAGAAGCAGCGACACTTATCGGTCACGCAGAAGGCGGGGGCTTCTCAGAAAGACCTGTCCGGAGAGCCACCGAGAAAAGTAACAAAGGACCATGTCACTGAGACAAGAGAAGAGGGTTTTGAACAAACAAAGTGATAAAGTGTCGGATTCCAGAGTGGGTAGGACAGTGACTACACTGATGGGAGAGGGGACAGTGGACAGCACCCAGGCTGTGGAGTGGAGGCCACGCCGAGCCACGGGGCGCGGAGGCCCTGGGGGACACAGGCACCGTTTAAGTGGACGGCTGTGGAGAGAGGAAGGCAGAGGGGGTCAGGCCGAGAGCCACACGGCAGTGGGGTTCCCTAGCACACTCTTGAAAGCCCTGGGTACGAGTTCTGCCTCACCCCCGCCCTGTGACCTGGGACACGTCACAGTGCACCAGACACTCAGTTTCCTTAGCTGCAGCTGAACACATGCCTTACAGCGTTGTATGAACCTGAGATAAGGCACTAAGTTTTTAGGGCCAGCTTTGATACATGGCGAGCACTCAAGAAAGAGTAATTTGTATGATTATCGTTATACATAAATCTGAGGGGTAAAGAACCACCAGAGAGGAACTTGGGGAAGATGGTTAATGGCTCTTGAAGAAAGCAGAGAGACGACACTGTGACCAGAGTGGGGTGCACTGGTCCTGGGCCAGATGAGGGCTCCGCATCCAGGGGTTTTTCTTTAAAATCAGAGGCACACTGGCCGCTGGTGGGGGTGGGGGTGGGGGTGGGGCTTCCCGCAGGGACTCGGTCTCGGACCATCATCTTCCGCAGCAGTACAGGTGTGCAGCCGCTCCCACAGGCCGCCACCACTCCACACCGCACACCTGCCCTTGCGGCCAGCCCGGCCCGGCCCCTCCACGTCCGAGTCAGGCCTCATGCGCCCCCAGGGACACTCACTGGCGCCTACACAGCGCGTCCCCTCTGAGGGCCTGGGCTGCATTCCTCAGCATTCTCCCAGAAGCCCCACAACTCAAAGACTTCCAGGGAATTTGGGACCATCAGGCCTGAAACAAGCCACTGTGAGCCTCACTCCTGCCTCTCCCACCTGGTCTCCCGGAGCAACCCCTGGATAAAGGGGGGGTGGCTTCCTGGTGTGACTCACCAGAGCAGCAGTAGTCCCAGTCCAGTACTCCCTCCCTCCCCCACTTCCCCTGAAGCCGAGATTCCCTGTGGGTATCCTATTTCAAAGCAACCAGGATTGTTCAGCAATAATTTCAAGGCCATGTTTATCTGGTTATTCTCACTGAGGAATCTTTAGGTGCTAATCTAACAATATTTTTCCAATGTCAAAATTGAATTGATAATGTTATTGCCAAACCCACTTCAGCATATACATGAAGCTTGTTTTTTATCGAGTGCTTACCACATAACATCACACCACGATTAAAAGCAAGTCTAAAATAAAACACTCGGGAGGCCTCCCTGTTTAAGCCCACACGTGAAAACCCAATGCACTGCACCTCACGCAGTGACCGGGCCGCTGACATGTTTCTTCCCCGGGAGCCTTTTCCAAGTGGTCCCGTAACCTCATGCCACTGCCTCCTGCAGCGGCCATTCCACACCCCCAAAGCCGCTCTTAGGAGACCACACGGCCCTGGCCCGCGGTCACACACAAGTCGGAGCAACGTGCTTTACCTGGCAGAGCACCTGCAGGAGATGGGTCCCCGTAGTGGCCATAATGCGGTGGAGAAAGGCCCATCCCTGTCTGGGACTGGGAGTAGGGGGGCGTGGCCACGTAACCTTGTTGGCTCATGCTGGAAATCTCATTCCAAGAGAGAGTCCTACGAAAGAACCCTGGAACAGAAGAGAAATCGCTGTCAGTGAGGGGAGCCGAGCCACCTGCCGCCTTCAGAGTTGCCGGTGCTGTCAAGCTGTCAACTGTTCCCTCTGCGGGGAGGAGAGGCACCGCCATGGTGGCATCGCCCCCTGGAAAGCTCCAGCCGCGGCTGCACGGACCTGGGGACTCAATCCCACCGTCAGGGCCAAGTCTCAGGTCTGGAACCTGCACACCTGCCACTGTCTTGTCCGCTCAGACGAAGATGGCTCAGGGCAGCCTCTCGGAAGTGTGTGTGGCCTCTGTGGACCCATTTCAGTGCCCGTGGCTTCCGTGGCCCCATTTCAGCACAGACCACGCCTGTGGTGACAGCTGAGTGCCAGCCAACTGACTGGCCAGCAGAACGCCCCTAGTCTGCAACTAGATATTTCACAACCTGTGTTTTTATAGTTCTGTCCTAATGAGCAGCTTTAGTCGGGCAGTTAGAACGGGGAGCAATCAATAGTCCAACGAGCACAGCATTAGATAAAGAAGCTGCCCGAGGCTCGTGAGTTACAAGTGGACTGAGCCGGGCGACAACCGTTCAGGAGTTGTAGGTGGTTTCTCAGGCAAAGACCAGAGACTTTCTGATTTAAGTACCACCTCTCCAAGGACACACGCGCATGGATTTGGGAAGGAGTCAGTCTTACACATGTAAACACAGTAGCTCTATCTTGATCCTGCTCAGAAACATCAATTTGGTAAAGTTTTCCATTTCTCCAGGTTCAGAAAATAAGAAGCATTTCATAGAACTATTCTTAATTTTTTTTTACAAGACAGGGAAAGCTTTGAGTGTTGGCGAGAAAAATGGGTTTTTGCTGCAAATCCATCAATACTTTGCTGTGGGCCTTAGGATAAACTGAAGACTCTCTGGGCCTCGGTCCCCCCTTCCAGCCACAAATCACTGATTCTGCACTTTCTCTCCAGTTTCTTCACCCACTACGGGGATATTCTCCCCGACGGGTGATCCCTCCTAAGACTGGAACTAGAGGCATATTCAGGCAATGGCATTCTTCATTTGGTTTCATTTTCCCATTAAACTATGTTTCCAAAATAAAAGCAACCAAGTAAAAATATTACAAAATCACGTCCTTCTTCGTGGAGGAAAGGGGCGGAGAAAACGCTGAGGCTGCTGGAGCGCCCGGGTCGCCTGTAGCCCCCGCCCGAGCAGAGGGCGACGTGGCAGCCTGAGCTCGGTCCGCTGCGCGCGTCGGGGAAGTTGGCGGGGGCAGTGCCCGCAGCCGCCTGTTGCCGGGCGACGCGGAGACCGGAGGGACAGGATGGCACCGCGCGCGCGCAGGAAGCAGTCGGTGCCTCGGCGCGGCTCCGGAGGAATCTGCTTCCTCACGCGGCCAGTAGCCACGTCGAACTTCCTCGCACGGCCGAGTTCCGAAGCCTGAGTCAGCAGCCGCGGCGACGTGGCGGGCGCCACCTGGACGGAGCAGGCCGGGCATCCAGCCCCGCGCTCCGCGCCCGGGACGCCCGGCAGCTCGGCCCAGGTGCAGCCAGGTGCGCGCCCCAGCCCGGCCCGCGTCCCTCCCGGGCAGCCGGTCCCGAAGCTCGCAGGCGCTTTTACTGTGAACGTTCCCGACATTCCCTCCTCCCAGAGGCGGGACGAGGGGTCCGGCGAGCAGAGCCGCTGGCAGTGGCCCTGGGACCCCTGCAACAGCTCAGCATCCCGGACGCGGAGCCGGAGCCGGAGCCGGAGCGGGAAACGCCCACGCCCCGCTCCAGCCCCAGCCACCCTGCGCCACGGGCAATGAGCGCAGCGGCGCCGAGCGGAGCCGAGGGTCCCCGTGCGCCCGCCCGCCCTCCAGGCCGCCCCGCGCCCACTCCAGCTGCGCCCACCCCAGCTGTGCGGGCGGCGTCCCGCCCGGACCTGCGTCACCCGCCACTGCCCGCCTCTGCTCCTGGTGCCCGCGCCCGGCGCCCCGGCTCCCGCTGCTCGCGCCGCACCTTCGCGAGCGGCTGTCCCCACAGGCTGGCGGCGCGCGGACTTCAGCCCGGCTGGCAACTGCCACGTCAAAACTCCCGGCCGCGCTCCCGGCGCCGGGCGGCCCCCAGGGCCGCGCTCCCGCCGCGCACGCGCGCAGACGCCTATGGGGCGGGGCCGGGGGCGGGGACCCGAGGGGGCGGGGCCGGGCGGGGCGTCCACCCCGCCCAGTGGTGTTTCGGCAGTGGGTCCTGCCTGTTTTCTCTGTTCACCTCCCCTGTCTGTGTTGTTTGTTTCCGTCCTACGGGTCAAAGCTTTTCGGGTCAAATCCGCGCAACTGGTCCACGGCGGAGCCCGCAGGGCGGAGGGGTGCGGACTGAGGGCTCATTCATTCTTTTCCTCGCAGGCTGCGGGCTCCTCCGCTGCTCGTTCCGCGTCCCTGGCGTCCCCGAGACGGTGCGAGCGCTGCGCCGCCAGGGCAGGAGGGCGCGCGATTGCGGACCTCCGAGAGGTCCCAGTTGCGGGCGAACCCGGCACGAGCGCAGAGGTGGAGGCCTCGGCCCGCCGCGGGAAAACGGGGTGGGGGGCGGGGGCAAAAATGATTCCCGCTGAAAAGCACGGGGGCAGGTGTCTGCACTGGAGCTGGGGCGGCTGGACTTCCGTGGGCTCCTTCAAGGGTTCTGTGCTCCCCGTCTGTGCAGCAGGGTGGCTGGCCCCACCCGCGGCAGGGATGCCACGCGGACCACTCCCGGGGCTTAGCTCGCTGTGCTGTGGGACAGCTGAGACCAGAGGGCCACCTCTATGAGACCTGGTCCTTTTCAGGACCATCTGCCTGGTGTCTCCCTCCCTCCCTCCCTCTCTCTCTCTCTCTCTCTCACACACACACACACACACACACACACACAGAGCCCACCCTCGGCTTAGTATGACTACCACTTGGATCAAACTTACAAAAGTAAAGTCAGACCAATGTTGTTTTCAAAACATACTTTCTTCTGGGCTACAAGAAAATACAAGCTACTCGATAGATCCCCTTACCGAAGAAACGCCGCAGTAAGAGCTTGCGTGGGGACGAGGCCGCCGCGGACATGCTCTGTGGGCCGTGCAGGCATTCCCGACTGTCCCGGCGCTTGTGGAGAAGACCAGCGGCCCCCAGCCTCCCCTCCTTTTGTCAGAGTCTGAGGTGTGATGCCTGGCCTACATCCAGCTTCTGCACTGGTCAGGTTCAAAACCCCGCAGTGGAAGTCTTGTGGGAAATGTGTTTCTAGATGCTCCATATGAAGACATTTGACGGTGCTCAGGAAGCCCCGGCCTCTGCTGAAGCACGAGAGCTTGTGAGGGCGACAACGACCACCGCGCATCTCAGCCACGTGACCGCGGGGGAGCCTCGCCACTTCCAAATAAGAACACCGTGTGACTAGCTGGCTTCTCCTCCCTGTAAAATCACTAAGTTTGAATTTGTAAATTCATTTTGACCCCTTGCTTCGGGACACCAGGATAACAGAGGGAAGTTGTGAGTTCCTAAATGTTAAGGCTGGAAAAGATTTTAGAGATATGCATGTTCCATTTCAGTGAGGACAGAGTTCAACCCAGTCGTTTTATAGATTGATGCGCAGAGGTTCAGAAAATGAAAATGACCACTCTCAGTGCTAGTTGGAGCAAATACCTTCTGGTTCTAATTCCGAACGTCTTTTCACCTCGTACTTTTTCCTTTTGATGCTGCTCATTGGCTCTTCTCTCTTAACCGTCTCTGCCTTTTTCTCCCACAACCGCCTTATCGTCAAGATTTCAAATAACCGCAATGTTAATTGATCACACAGTTCCCTCAGGGACTGGACCTACTAAGCACAGATTTCCTTTTTCTTACAGAATGGACTTCTAGTTTCAGTACGGCTTCCCTCTGGTGGCCCCAGTACCTTATTCCTGTGGTCAGATCGCTGACCTTCACCAGACCCGAGGGGCAGCTGGATTGCCAGCCTTTCTTGGTCAGCCCTACCCTATTGCCACCTGAGGTCAGCCTCTGCCCTTCCATGTTAATGAACTTAGTCACTCTTGTAACCACAGCGTCATTGCCAGGGGAGATCACAGAGAAAGAAAGCCCTGTGCTGAAGCTCTGTGTTCTGTAGGGTCCTTCTGTCCTAACTCTACAAGGAGAAGACCACAGAGAGCCAGCTCTGTGCAAGACTGTCTAGAAAGAGAAGGGACATCCTGACAACACTCAGAAAGCAGCTTCCAGAAAGTCAGAGCTCTGATGTCCTGGGACTTAAGTAGTTTGCAGTCTTCTGAGTCCAAAGCTACAAACAGTTTGAAGAGCTTTGTATTTGAGATAACGGCAGTGGCCAAGGCCCGGGCTAGGTTGCATGCTGGGAAGCACAAGAAATAAGGCCCAGTTCTGGGGGGTGGGGAGGGTGTGTGGAAGGCCTGTGAACAGCAACCAGTAACAGTAGAGTTTAAGAGTTCATCAGGCCACAACAACCAGCTGTTTCTGGAATTACTTTTTTTTCCTTTTTTTAAATAGTAGCTTTAAGATACTTGTCATTGAGGCAATTGTAATCGAGATACAACGAACAATTCACCTGTTTAAGTGTGCACCCAAAGGTGTTTAATACATTCACAGTTATAGAGCCATCACCACAGTTTTAGAACAATTCCCATCACTCCGAGCAGAAGAAAAGTCACTTTGGGTTTTGAATGGAGGCATAACATGCTCTCCCCGCTGCCCCCTCTCCCAACCCTCCCATCCCGCAGCCTTGGCCAACCACTGATCTACTTTCCACCTGTGCAGATGAGCCTATTTTGGGCATTTTGTATAAATGGGGTCACGCAGATGGGGTCCTTCATGACAGTCCTTTCACCTGGCAGCCTGTTTGTAAGGTTCATCCTTGTTGGAATATCAGTTGGAATAAAAGCATGAATAATGCTGCTCTGAACATTGATGTACAAGTTTTTGTCTGGATATACATCTCCATTTTTCTCGGGAATCTCAAATAAACAATGCAGCCCAAAGCAAACATGCTCTCAGCCACTCAATACCACTGCTAAGGGACCAGCCCGAGTGTGGCGGACCACTGCCCCAGGGGGTCTGCTAGCCTGGGGCGCCTGGGGCTGAGGCTCCCCCAGAGCCGCCCTGCAGCCTCAGGCTCATCCCAGCCAGCTCGCCCCCTGCCCCACCCCTGTTTCCAGGTGTTAGCTCCATGAGGTCCATGAAACCTTCTCTCCTGCTCCTCTTTGTGGTCTACTGGACACAAGTGTGTCCCCTCACAACTCTCCTGTGTGTCTAATTCCACACTGCCATCAGCTTCTGAGGGACCTGGATGGACCCAGCCTCACGCAGGTGAGGTTTGATCAAAGCCTGGAAGGCAGCAGTGGGGTCGGCCCCACAGATCACCGGGGGCAGAGTATTCTAGGCAGAAGACAGAGCCCCCAAAAGCCCCTATGTCAGAAAGAAGGGCTTCTGGAATGTTCCTAGAGCAGAAGGCAGCCGGCAAGGGAATGAGAGGAAACTGAAGGAGAGGAAAGAGGTCAAGGGGGCAAACGGGGTTGGGTCCTTCAGTCTACTGTAAGGAGCCTGGTTTTCACTCTGACCAAAAGAACAGTTATTTCAGGTTTAAACTGAGGAAGACATGCTGACTTACTTTTCAATATTTTTTACTTATATGGAGGCAGCAAGTCTTCATAAAAATGTGGTGTTCAGAAAACATTTATTTCCCAAAGTCTCCATGAGGTTTTAGAGTCAGAAATGTATCCTCCAGTCTCTGGGTTTTATGCAGGTTTTCCTGGGCCGGGCTAAGATCTGCGGAGGGAGTGCAGGTCTGTCGCCTGCTCTCAAAGCCGGTGGGACACGGAGCTGTGGCCACCACACAGCAGTAGTTCTGTATGCACAGCTCACCCCTCCCACCGCTTATTCCTGGGGACTTGGATGAGATGTGACCCCATGCTGTCCATGCACTGATTTTGTTGATTTAAGGAAAGAAGGCAGGAGAGCGGGCACTTAGGAGGTGAATGAAACGCAATTTCTATGTAACAAACAGCTTATGAGGAAGGTACTCTCACCTTCGTAATACCGAAAGCTCATTATGTGGTATTCCATCACACATATTTCCTTTTTGCTGTTAGGATTGAGTCTGAGAAATAAAAAGCACCTGGTAACTCACTGAAACAATGGCGGATGAAGTAGAAAAGGTGCTGACAATCCACTTGAAGTCAGTGCTTTAGTATATGATCACGAACAAGAAGAAATGACTTCCCTTGGATTCCTTCCTCGAGTCCACCTACGTGATTAACTAGAGAAATAACGCAATTCTATACTTTTGCTGTAAATAAAGTATTAGAGATTTAGGTTTGAGGATGTCACATCTGCGGTGGTGATGGCTGATTTTCTTCCGGAACAGGCCTCTTTCGGGGTGCAGCCGCGTGGGCTGCAGCCGCGGCCTCCCTCACTGGAGTGGAGACCCAGTGCACAGCTTTCGTCTCGCCTTCACGTGTGCCTTCCTGATTCTCTCAGCTTCCCACAGGCCGGACGGCAGACGTGGCAGTCTAGCCGAGGACAGTCCTGTAGGAGGGATGGCCAGGGATAAAATAAAAGGAGCTCGTGACCCCGGTTTCTCCAGGAGCAGAAACACCTCCTCCCCTCCACCCGTCTGCCTTTGAGCTGTTACGCAAGAGAAAAGTAAACTCTGTGTAGTTTCAGCCACTGGTTTGGGGTTGGGGGGACCTCTTAAAATAAATAATGCTACTTTAAAATCCGTCTGTTTTAAAAATTAAGACCAGTACATTTTACTGGTCAGGGTGTATCCACCACGGACGGACTTACTGGTGTGCACAGCAGACTAGGCAGGGGAAGGCTGAGCGGGCCACACGGCGCAAGCAAAGTGGACAGTGGGTCAGTCTGTTGTTGCCACGGGGCCCAACGTTGCCCGCAGAGTTTGATAGGAGAGCGTGGAGCTTACTTGTGAAGGGAGTGGATGTTCCTGCTATTAATGAAGTGCAGCGTGTATTGCTGGCCTAGAGTTAAGGTGACTTTCTGACTGGACGACCAGAGGCTCCCCTCCCCTGTCCCCATAGATCCGAGAGCTGCGTCCAGCCCCGGAGGCCCCAGCAGCCTGCGG